GGGTAGCTCACCAGAAGCAGCCTGCATTCATCCACGCACCAGAAGGGAGGCGACTCCTGTCTCCAGCCTGGCACTGTGATCCAAGATACACGGAAAACCTTTTCCCTCTTCAGTACTCTAAGTCCTATAGAAAAGGTATGGCCCCAAGAAATGGGGAGCATCATATGCTATGCAATGTTCTCCTATTACTGTCCCTACACCACTCAGCACCCACAAACATGGGCAGAATAGGGAAATGCAAAAGGCCAGATTCACATATGCACTGAAGATCCTTCTGCAGCCTGCAGGAGGGGGCTACCAGGACTTGGATAACTACTGTGAGATAAGATTTGACTTATCTCTGAGGAATAACATGCAATAATCCATGTACACTTTTATTTTTAATCTTTAGCTGGTACTTTCTGAGGCTGAACAAAGACACAGATGTGTTCAGGATTCTACCAAGAGTGCATCTGTCTCCAGATGAAAGGATCCTGACATCAAACTGACTGCAGCTGGGCTAGAAAAAGTTTTAAATCACTGAGATCAACACAAGTTTTGCACCAAAGTACAAATACACATACCATGATTTCCTCTGGGTGACAGGCAAATCCTGTTATTCTACTTATGAATGGGCCTCATTAAGTAGAAAAAAAATTGTTAGTGCAACCTGTTCCTTTTTAAATTAAACATATTAAAGTTGATAGATACCCCTAATTCTCTGCTCAGCCTTTTATGCATTGCAATAACACTGCTCCCATTGTTAGGGAAAGTCTTGAGTCTGCATAATCTGCTTTTCATTTCCCTGGCAGCTGAAGATCATTCTTTGTGACTAAATTAAAAACAGTTTCTTTCAAGAATCCACCAGATCTGTCCTCCTTTTTCCTCCCTGTACCTACAAGTTAGGAAGAAAAAAAGAAAACAAAACCTTACCAACAAGCATTAAATCCTATCAGATCGGGCTGGAAGGTCACCTCATCCATCCCTCTGCCCTGAGGCAAAGATCAACTCTTCTTAAGCCATCCCTGACAGATGCTCATCTAACTCTAAAAAACACCCATTGATGATTTCACAGCCCGTTCCTTAGCTTACCTCACGGCTACAAGTCTGACCCAAATGTCCCTGACCACAGTCAAAGCTCCTCACTGCTTGTCCTGTCTGCACTGGACTCAAGGAAGACCATTTCTCCTTGAAGAAGAGTATTTCCTCTCTGAAGCAGCCCTTTACATGTGTGTCGAGCTTTCCCATGCTTTTCACTCCTCTTACGTCTTATGAACGTATCTGTCTACAACTTTTCTGAAACAGCCCCATTTTAGAGCCCAGCACTCCTGAACAGGCAAGTCAAACTGCTCCTCAGCCCATTTCTGCTCCTGTGTTTATTCCCATTGTCTAGAAGCGAGTGGAGAAAGCGGGAGGCCGAGGTCTTAGCCTCCCAGGACAGCAATGGGCAGGTAGGGAAGAGGCATTGAGAGGACTCTAGGACGGCCTTTAGGCTGACGTACACCAGACGCACCCGGTCACTGATGCCTGCTGGTAGCACGGTGTTAAGCTGGCGCTGGCAGATGGGCTGACCAGAGCACACCCAGTTCCCAGGCAGGCGGCTGGATGTTCACACAACGCATCCAGCTCCAGACCAGCCGGCCCAACCATGCAAACCCAGCAAAACCCAGCGGTGTGGGCTCTGCCGGTTTTGAGGACGACACCGTAAGTAGTGAGGAAGCACAGGGAACGAGCTATGTGGGTGGAAAAGTGGGGGGAAAAAAACGGAAGTTTAGTAGAGGAAGGGGAAAGAATCTGAGATGATAAATCAAAACGTGCAATGACCTGCTTTCCCCCACTTGCCCCTCGCTAGAGCTGACCTTGACTTCAAAAGAAACTCCAATTTTCTGAAAGGCAGCAAAAAGGAAAACAAGGCATGAAATCCCCGCAATCAGTTCAGAGGCTTACAGCAGCACCTAGTACTAGTATTTTACATGTCATGTAATACAGCACTAAGCCTAAGAGGTTTTTGGATTTCTGTAACTAAGTTGACAGCTTTTATTACGGGACGTGGTTTTGCCAGCACCTAGCCTTGTGCACACAGACCTCCCGGCTCTTCTAGCCCAGCGAGGCTGCTCAGACCTGTGTTTCGGGCCACTCTTAGCACACTCAGCTAGTGCTGTGCTCAGCTCTCAGCGCAAGGGAATGATCCAGGCCAACCGGACACCTAACAATCCGTTGTTATCGTAGGTGCCCAGGTCTGAAAATCCCCAAGGTGACCGACCAGGCAAGGCTCACCTCGGAGGGCAAGGCAAGCGGCGCAGGGCTGCTCTTGACTGGGGAAGCAGACTGCTGCGAAAGGACGGCCCTGCTCGGGATCTCATCTGGTGACTGATTTGCACTGACATGCTGTTCCAATCACAGCAATTTTGCATGATACCAGCTGCTTTTCCGGATGTAGGGAGGAACAGGCCTGACAAATAGGATAGTAAACGCACGTTAAGGACATTACTCCAGAACTCCCAGCTGTTATACTTCCACTGTGAGAATTTAAAGGTATCTTGTTAAAGATGTAACACAATGTCAGCATTAACAGCTTCCTCCTGTTTTCCCTTCTAAGTGCCCAATCCTACAGAGCTTTATTAATACAGGCTGAAATTTCAAGATTTAAAGGCTAACTAAATCCCACTTAAAATTTTCACAACGGGGATTAACTGGAACTTACCCGCTGCTTACACTGCTGTTCGCTTTCTGCAGGAGGGGCAGTTCTCATGTATGTGCCTTGTGGGTTTAAGCTGTAACCGGCTGGCTGGAGCGGAGCTTGCAGCCAGCCCCGCGAAGGTGGGAGGGCAGCAATCGGGTAGAGAGCTGCTGAGGACAGCAAACCGCGCTCTTGCCAGGCTGCGGCTCTGCGTGCTTGAGCAAAGACAAAAGCGTCCCTTCTATGCGTTGCATTTACTCGCAACTTGTAACAGCTAAAATCACAGGAAATGTAACTAAAACGCCTTTCCAAGGGAGAGCAAAACTAACTTCACACATTTCCATACACAGAGAAATGACCCATGCAAATAAAAACAAACCAGTCCACAACGTCACCCCAAGCAAGCTGAACGCAGCGAGAGCGCCCCTGCTTACAGAGAGCGAACAGTGCCTTGGCACAAGTGAAACGCCAAACGTTCGAAAATACAAACCCAGAGCTTATGAGATTTTATAAATTATAGAAAAATTAAAATTAAAAATTATACTGTTCTATTCTGTATATAGCTTAAGAGAAATAAAACTTGTATGTACTGTCATTAGCCTACATGTAAGAAAAGATATATAGAGAGATAAAAAGATTTACTTTTCTAGATAAAAAGCACATATGTAAGAGTATACCAGTATTATCCAATTGAAACTAAATTCCTATGCATTTGATTTCACCCACCTGCAACAAAATGCTGAATGGAAGAACACAGAATACAATAGAGAAACAATTTTCTATTTTATAGAAAGGACAGTCATTAAGTGGGTTCATTTTTACATTTATTTGACGAAACGGCGTACATAGTGTTAATCTTTGCAGAATAATAATCGTGTGCAGACACAATTAATGGTTTTGAGACCAGAAGTTAGATACACAGTGTGCGACAACATTGCATAAACAGTTCTTCCACAGAATGCTTCTAATTCCAGTATTAAAATATATAAAATAGAGTGTGACTTTTTTATTTATTGTGGTGAGGTAAACATTTCTTCCTTCAAAGCAGTGTGCTTCTATGCACCTTCACGAGAACTAACAACGACACCCTTCTCCTTCATTCAGTCAATAAGTACATACCTAGTGGCATATTTATTGCTATTCTAATGGTCGTACATTTTTTCCTTGAGCAATACGTAGAGAAAGGAATGGAGAAGAAAAAACCTACAGTAACTAATGATAGCAACCTATCTATACTATTTGTGTCAAGAGCCAGAGATTAGTGCAGATAATTTATTTTGAATGTCACAGTTTTAATGGAAATGTCAAGAAAAATTTATTTACATTTTTCTAAGTAGAACACAGTATTGATTAGAGCCGCTCAAAAATCACAATTAAGAATTTATTAGACAAATTTTTACCTCTCTGCCCATTTACAACACCAGATCATAATATCCACTCATTTGTTCACTGTTCAAATTTATTGATGATTTTCAGCATGTAGTTCCTGGGCTGAGTGAGATTTGTACCGAGTTCTTTAGTTACACAAGCCATTTGGTATTGTCTTCTGTTCCCTGAATGAATGATTTGTGTAACTAACAGCTTGAATTTTGACTGTTATAAAAGAATATATAATCAAAATAAATCTCGGTCAATATCTGAGTAATGAAACTTACTTTTTTTTTTCTTGTACATATTTTTACTGATGCCTGAGAAATCAAATACTTTAAAAATGGAAAAGTTCATTTGTGTTTTATTCCCAATAAATCAGAAAAGGTTTCTGGAAGTTAAATCAATTGAAGAATACTCCTTACTCCTGACAGAAAACTGCTTCACGTTTTCATCATATTTTAAAACCTCACAGCAGTGACATACTTATGAAAGAGGTTATTTTAAAAAATTAGCAGCCATTTTCTTGGTGGCAGACACATCCTCCTAGAGCTCTCTGTATGGCACTGTTACACCTAGAAATACCGCACCTCATTTCCAAAAACTAGAAAATAAAATGAATCACATTTTGCCGGCTTATAGGCACAGTCTAAGAATGGAAGGTCCTTTCGCTACCAACTACTCAATCCCTTTTCCTATTGTGAGGTATACTTTGGCATCTACAAAAGAAAATCATTTTAAAGGCAAAATGTGTGATTTCTAAAAAAGAAAATAAACGTTATTCATTTGAATAAAAATAGATATTGTAAGCACAATTTTTTACATTATTGTAAAAGTCCATAAAAAATATAAACCCATTATTAGTTTGCTGACTCTTTACAATATAAAAAAATGAATGAAAATATTGTGAACTAGGTGAACTACATGGGTTTGATTAAAGAACAATCCTGTTGATAGAAGTCAATTATTAATCATTGTATCTTAGCATGAGTTTATCAGTGACAATTCTGGAAGGAAAGCAGAAAAAGAGCTTTATGAAGTCAAGTATTACTTATTACAATTCTGAACAACAAAATTACCAAAATTAGATGGACACACAAACTTTTCAAGAATGTATCTGCCAAATTTCTGAAGCCTAACCTGCAAGCCTATGGCCTGAGTTTGCCATGTATTATAAATTCCGTCCACCAACACTGATGACTGCTTGGAAAAACTCCACTAATCCTCTCTGAAACAACAACAGGAATGACGTCTCGTGAAACACACACACTTCCCATGAGAATAATCTTCAAGTTGTTATTTTTTGGCCACGCTAGCCACCGCCTTCTTTGCTGCATCCTCAAGGTCATTTGCAGACATGATGGGGAGTCCGCTTTCATTCAGAATACGCTGGGCTTCATGAACATTTGTTCCTAAAAAAGAACATTGACTATAATTAGTAATTAATATTAATGAATAATAAGCACCTTCTATTAAATCCTATAAAAGTAGTTAATGCTTCAAACTACACATCATTTCAGTTTAACAACAGATTCAATGAGTGGTTTAGACTGAGCTGAGAAGAAGGAACTCAATTTCCATGACAATTTTGACAGACAATGCGATCTGATAATAGCACTTGCATCCACAAGAGGGGCTTTGTGAAGATTAGAGGGTCAATCCAACATCCACCAGAGTCAGTAGGGACATCCCGCAAGAGCAGTGGATAATGGATCACGTATCAGGCCTTTAAGACACTCAGAAGTTTTAACGCATTTATTAGCGACAATCAGCTACAGCTCATCAGCAGTCAGTGAATCAACTGTAACTCAAATTCACCCATGTTAACTGAAAGCTGCAAAATGGGCTATTGGAAGACAAAGACTTGGGTAATACTGAAAATACAACTGGTTTTGAGTTGCTATTGAATACACTTTTTTGCATTTCTGCTATAAAAGGGGAACATGGAGAGCTCTGAAGCATTCAGCATGACATCGTTCCCTCCTCTGCTGCTGCACTGTATTATCCCACGTTGAGGGAGACTGTACAGCCATACAGTACAAGTGCTCCATTTTGTATATAAAGAGCTCAAATTTAGTCAACTGACTACATGCACAGTAAAGGAAAAAAACATAAATTAAAAAAGATGTTTCAGGAAAGCCTGTTTTTCACACTGTTCTCTTGTGTAAAAGGCAAGTGCATCACCTTCTGATTTACTCTAGCTCTTTCTCGATGGAAAACAAAGACAGAAAATGTGAATTCTCCAAAGCTTTGATCACTGATATGTTCTGCACCAGAGGAGAACTTGGAGTCAGATATCCTACTGAGGAAGCGGAATCCACACTTTGGGATCACACCACCAGCCAGAAGCACAAGGCCCTGAGCTGATCCTCTTTAGGATCATTTCTAGACCCCTCCTCCGCATCAAGTTTCTTGTTCATTTGCCATGTCAAAATGCTTAATTACTTTGTAATTCCTAGACCTAGCAAAATGAATTTTAATTATATTTGGAGCTATACACTAATTATACCCTTAATTATTAACCAAGCAAGGAACATACTCTTTACTATGCAACTTCCAGAATGCTCATTTTAAAGGGTTATTTTGGGTTTTTGGCAGACTTTATAAAATGTCTGAAACTGTACAGCAGAAGTAAAGAAATTCAAAAGTCTGTTTCATCAGCGTGCTCAAGTCAGGATTCCCACTCCCGGCGCCGAAAGAGACCAAAGACATCTCTGTCGCAGCAGGCCCCAGCACTTTGTGATAGGAGAGGCAGGTGTCTGGAAGAGGAGTGTGGGACCCCATCTGCTAGCTGTTTAAAAGCACTGGCAGAAGAGGTCACGCTTCCCATCGATATGCAGAGGACACACTGTGGGACTTGTGTAGGAAGGTCAAAAGACATCTGAAATCTCTGACAGAAGGGGGATTTGGTTGCATAGTAACATCCAGAACTGTACAGGACTTTTCCTACAGAAAGAAAGACTATAACGGGCAAAAAAGAGCGTAATATTTGATATTTTTTTTTTCCCCAACCATCCTATATAACGTAATGTGGAAGCTGCTAGTTGCCAGTACAGAACTGTACAGGGAAGTCAGAAGGCATTACGAAGGTTCTCTTCTCTGTTAAGTTCCTCACATTTGTACAGCGATTCCCATCAAGTCTGGAAGGTTTTATCTATTATTTAGATACAAGTGTGATAAACATTTAAAACAGTCAAGATTGTACCGATCTCTCAAACAGGATTCTACGAGACAAAGTGGTGTGGGGAGAAAAAAATGGAAAGAGGGAAAAATTTTCCTGGAAATTCTCCCACAGAGAAAAATATTATGCTGTTTGTGATAGCCACGTATTTAAAACTAACTTTTGCTCTTCACTAAGTGGCCAATATTAATTTACTAACAGGTCAGAGTGGGAACAATACATCGGATCTGTTCTGCACTGCATTGATTGCTCTGCACACCACTTGTCTAACATGCATTACAAAATCAATACAAAACACAGGCCGCTAAGAAGGGAGGGAGGAGTTTATGCAGACAAATGAAAATATGAAAGCTGAAAAAAATCCCACTGCAGTCAAGAGTAAGGGTACATTTTGTATATATTAAATAAAATACTGTTTTATAGGCAGGCCATACAACTAAGCATATTTTTCAGCAAATATTTCCTTTGCTGTAATTTTCTTCTTTTAATGATAGCTTTTTATCCCACTGTGATAAGTATTTTAGATGTATGGACAATACAGAAATTTTAATGAGATCCTGCTGAAAGCAGAGGTAAGAGTTTTAAAATGAAACGCTCAGAAAACACTGGAAACATTTAAGAATCTACAAAGGGTATCATCTTATTGCAGTAGATGTTAAAATAAACAAATAATCCCACTATTCTAACATTAACCTCCTGCCACTGGATGGTGTCAGAGAACTGTAAACAGAATCTCATACGCAGGCTATCAAAATAACCTGCCCTTCACCTACACTGTAGCCAACTGAGAAACGGTGAAAATTCACAGGACTGAAGGCTACAGGGCTTTTGTTGTTGTTGCTGGGTTTTTTTGTTTGTTTTTTTTTTTCTTTTTTTTTTTTTAAACTTGACTTCTATTAAGGGAATGGCTTTCTGATGAGAAAAAGTAGTTTTTTCCTTCTGACACATATTACTGTCAATAACACTCCATGGAAAAACAGGAAAGATGTAATTTTATCAGCAGATACTTTCAGGCTTTTTAATCTAAATATCCTCCTTCTGAAACAACCTCTCTGTCTGTGTACATGCAATCACTCACATTTACACTTTTATTGCCTTGAAATCTCTGCTTTCACTAGCAAAGCGAATCTATTCAACTCATTACCTAAAAATCGTAGTAATAAATATTCTACCTAAGCATGTTCCTATAAATTGCAAGATTATACCAGCACACATTGTTACAAATGAGTCAAGAGGACTGCATAGGTTGAACGAAAACAAACAAATAAAACATCCCCGACCATACTCCAACAGGATTTTGATAACGCTCATTTATTCACTTGCACTGTCATAAAACCATTAGGAACAGGCTAAATTGCCACTGTGTAATGCTGATGGCTGGAGCGGATGCAAGACTCTGCAATGCCACTTCTAGCTTTTCAGGTAAGTAAGATATAAGGGGAAAAGACACAATTATATACATTTGGTACATCCTAAGAAATAGAAGATTAACGTAAAAGATAATCTGATCTACCCAAAACATTCTGCTATGACAAAATATTTCACAATATGCAGTACGTCTGACAATATTCTTGGCGTGAACACAATGCAACCGTGTTACATTACCAATAGTAATGGTTCAGCTTTGACATGCTACACTGATGAGCGTATTAAGAGCCAAATGTCCCGCCCTGGCACGGGTCCAGGTTATGTCATTTCTGCTAGCCCACAAGCTGGACACTCATAGCCTCTCGGGTCTCAAAGACAGAGGTACTGGAGAATAAGGAACAAGGTTTAAAGTTCATCACTAGCTAACATTCAGTCAACATTTGATTTGAGGTTTGGCTAGGGATCAGCTTTAAGTAATGATCTTTAGCTAGGGAACCTACGAAGTTTTGGTGGCTCACACATCTTGTAGCTGTTGGCTCTGCAGTCAAGAATAAACCAACTTTCACTTTAAGAATTGTCTCACAAGAGACAATTAAACTCTTTCTGTTCTGTCCACCCCATTTGCCCTTTTCTATCTTGAACTTTTCCCAAAGAGTATTTTAATCTTTTCCCCTGCCCCATGTTTACATCCAAACTGGGAAAGACTCAAGCACATTTATATTTGTGCTGAATGTTTAAACCCAAGATGTCCGAAGAGGTTGATACGAAGGAAGTTCTAAATGTGACTTTGCAATACCCCATTCTTCTCTCTTGACAGGCAATTTGAGATACTAAAAATCACAGGCATACATACTAAACCATATTTTTGAGCAAGATATACAAAATGGAGCAAAATTTCACTTGTGTGTAAAAGATTTCTGAATATAATAAAAAAATCATTAGATTCTGAAAAACACAGAAGATTGCGAATCACATGGCTGAAAATATAATAAGAAATTTTGGATTCAGACATTTGAATAAACACCAACTTGCTTCTACCTGCGTTTCAACATACTAAGTAGTTCTAATTCCTCCCAAGTCTTCTTGTCCTATGACCACAGAAGCAAAGAATTAATTGTTGAAAGAGAGAGAATGTAAAATTTCTAGCATGGGAAGAGGACATCTAATTCACAATTCTTTTTTATTCTTTCCTCTTTTCATCAAACTCTGAGCTATATAAATGAGAAACAAGGTTTGGCTTCCATTCAGCGCTCCTAGTTAGTTCACAAAACTTAACTGAAGTACATCACACTTTAAAGGGGAAAAAATGCTGCATAAAACCAGCAGAAGTTAGTTTTCTACAACTGTAAAAGATAAAATTTGGAGTGTGTGGTTTCTCCATCTTTCCATGAGCTTTTTAAACAACACCAACCCCACGTCTCAGCTGGTGAGTTCTTTACTGATAAGGCAAGTAAATACATGTAATTATAAAGTTACCATTTTCAAAGAGGAGAGTAATCCTTTCTTTATCCACTGGTAAAACAGCTTGTAATTATTATACAACTGATAAAGATTTGTCCACAGAATCCTGCTAAATCGAGACAGATTTGACTGATTAAAACTCTAGTCATCAAGACATTTGTAGTACAGTGCATGAGGGCAAAGAGTCTTTAAAGTACAGGTCACAAATCTGTTAGATTTATGGGAATAAAACATCAACCTTCTGCTGGAAAAATGGTCAAAATGGAAATCCAAAAAAGTGCTTGTTCTTCTTTCTCCTTTTGAAGTGTAAAATGTTATTGATGACATTTTAAAAAGTCTTGGGTAGCCTTATTACTTCCACAGTACTCATTATTAATTCAAAATCCTTGTATGTTTGGATAACCCGGTATGAGTTCAAAGAAGAACACCGAAGATGATTAAGGATCCACAGGGATTGATTTCTGAGGAAAGATTAAAAGAATCAAATATATATATATATATATTGCTTGGTTGGGTGATTAAGGAGGCAGAGAAAGCAGGAGTTACAAGCTAACAGTTTGTAAGTACAACATCTGAAGGCTGTAAACTTCATAGCTCTTCGTTTAGGATGAACTGGTAACACTAGGAATAAGAGAAGGAATTAAAAAACTTTTGAGATAAATATTATGCTGTATTATACTGGGACAGAGTTTCCTAATGAAAACATGGTATCGCCATCTCTGGAGACAGCAACTAGTCTAGGAGAAGCATTACTACAAACCTAGTAAAGAGTAAGAAAGCATGGGAAGATGACCAAGAAAAGATGTTTGCATTAAAATCTGTGTTAGACATTCTAAAGATTCAGCTTCGGCCTCTGTGGATGAAGCAGCACATGAGACTCATAAAGGTTGCAGGCTCAAGAGGAACAGGCACCATGCAGTCACCTCTGCAGGGCTTTGTGCAACCCCCAGGCAGAAGCACTCCTGCTCCACACCTTCTCTTCCAGACAAACTCCACAGTGCAGTAGCAGCGGGACTCTCCTCGTTCAGCTCAGGGACTGCTTTGCCTCTTGCAATCTCCCAGAACTCATGTTAAAAATAAAAAATTCACCCTTACCTGTGTACAATCATGGAAGTATTGAAAGTACTGGAGAAAGGTCAAAAAAACCCAGTGGCAGACCTACCAGACTGCAGTTTAAAAGGAGCAAGTTGATTTTCCTGTTTCTCTTAAACCGGTTTCAAATACCGCAATAGAAACAACTTTCAACTATCTTGTTCATAAGGAAAACTAACGTCTTTTCCAATATCTTCACTTAAAAAATAACAGCTACAATAGATGAGAAGCCTTGCAGATCTGACAGATAAACTTTTTCCCAGCTATGACAGACAGGAAATTTTTTTTGCTGTGACAAAAAGCTAAACAACATTGCCTAGAGCTGATAAACAATGAGATTTTATATTATGAAACTTTCCTGCTTCTAACCAACATCCATCAGTCTCTCCTTCATCCATATTAAACTATCTACTTACTCTCTTAAGGTGTTTAGTGGTGCTGCATAATCCAAAGAAAATTTTCACAATTTGTTTCTAAAATCCATTTTAGAGTACTTAAATTTTCCTGCACTTACCACAGCAAAAACCTACCCATGTTAAACCAAGAATGCACTCTGGAAAGTGTTCGAACCCTGCAGTGACATGCACAGCAGAAGTTTAACAGGACAAAATTGCATGTCGCAGGCTGTGGTCTCCCCTGATGTGAACTACGTATCGTGTGTAATGTAGCATGAGAACAAGGGATAGGAAAACCCTGCTTTCTCATGAAAGGCAAAACAAGTACCCCTCTTACCAAAGGGCTTCATGGGTAACCTGCATCTTCAAGTGGCCTGGTGACTTTAGTTTTTGAAAAGGAAAGAGTCTGGTGTATTCAGAACCTTTTTTCCCCTCTCCCCTCTATCATAACGTTAAAAAACACCTTATTATTTTCTATCTCAGGTACATAAAGGGATGCATATCCTCCTTTCACCACCAATGCTGAGTGATAGGACATTTCATGCTCTTTAAACACGCCCAAACATGAATATTGAAGTTTTTGAGGAACAGGCCTTAAAAAAAGAAACCAAAACAGAAAAACCTCTATTTTTAAACCTACTTGGCAAAAAAGAAATGTTTTAAGCTTACAAGAGTTGTGTGCTGATTTTGATCAAAGCACTTTTTCAGTCAATGGCAGAAGAAGAATCTCCCTTCCTCCTTCAGGGTACTTCTCAGAAATTAGAGACAGAACTCCGTATCTGCTGCCATTATATTAAAGCCAGTAACTGCCAAAGAGTGCTCTTCCTTACCTCTCTATTACTTGTTTCCAGTTTAACAATGCTGGATGTACTAAAAAAATATTCCTTACCATTACCAAATCTGCTTTTTAATGGATTTTAGCTGGATTGGATATTTGGGCAGAAGAACACATTACAGTAATCTCTCTCACACAAATACTGTTTCTAACATCTTTCTTTTAATTATGATATTGGAATAAATTTAAGAAAACTGTATGTTGCTACAGGTTTAGCAATAATGGAATTGCATTCAGTAAAAATCATTTGAAAAAGAAATACCTTCCAGTAAACAGAAACTGGCATCCAAATAATTTCTATTTGCAATGCAAATGTTACAAGCAAAACCAAAATGCTTTCACTGCAAAATTTCATTGCCTCAAGTACCACCAGGGACCAGGAATACAGAAATATGTAAGGAAAGAGTTTTATTGACTTCAGGTCATGCTATGGATGAAGAATTGGACATATTCTTATTGTGTGGGACTAATCTGTTTAGAGATTAGAGATTGAAGAAAGCCAAAGTGGATTACTGTGCACCTGAGGGATGATTTTTGTCTGAAACCATTAGCACTCACCTTCCAGTCTGACCACCAGAGGTACTTTCAGCTCAAGCTCTCGGCAAGCTTTGGTAATACCATTGGCTATAATGGCACAGTTCACGATCCCACCAAAAATGTTTACAAGTATTGCTTCAACCTGTAGGAAAGAAACAGAGGAGGAAATAGATGGGGGTTTTGTTTGTGTTTTGTTTTGGCTTTGTTTTTTAAATAAACATGGGTAAAAGATCCAAACCAGGGTACAAATTCCCCTCTGTCAGGCAGGTTCTCATTTAGGGAAGGTACGAGCTTCACCTCTGTACTCAGAGAACTTGATTCTGAGTCTATTGTTTCTGTAGTGCGTAGCAGTGATTAATTGCCTTGGTCTGAACTGGCATGGTAATTAATGTCATAAACACATTATTACACAGAAAAGGGGAATTTCTACTGATAAGTATAAATAAAAAGAGATTAAACAATCTGTATTTTGGATTTTTTTAATGTATTGAATAATCATCAGAGGTTGGAGCTCAGAAAACACAGTGTATGAATGTGCAGACGCACATGCAATGAAATATTAATGTGGACACTTCACAAAACAATCTGGATATGCACTTTATCATAAGCAGTACAGAGGAAAAGGTAATATACTTGCCCTGACTTGATAAAGAGGAGTAAAAAACCCTTCTAATTAACAAGGAGAGGCATGTAATGAAGAACATTCATTACAACAGATTAATTGATAACCTCAAAAAACTGCTATTCATCAGTTTCTGGAAACTGAAATTCCTGCTCCCCATTCACAATTAAATTACCTTTCACAACATACAATGCATTAATACATAGAAGATATTAATACGGTTTCTTTCCACTTGGTAAGGTAGTATAATATTGAACCCAAGTTCATATACCAGGCTTCCCACCATGGCTTATTAAGTCAAGGGGGACACCATACAGATGCAGCTATGCTGTTTCTCATTCCATAGTGGGGCTAATCCACAAGATTCGGGGTGCTCTACAATAAGCTTCACTGGGTGTCACAAACAAGCTTTGCCAGAATCACGCTGACTCAAAAGAAGTCAAGATAAAGAGGGGATTAGGTTTGAAGGAACAAAATATCACTGAATTTCACTTGTGCATGATGTCAACCGCAATTATCCTTAACTCATTGCACAAGATGAACAGATTCACTTTGCCCACCTCCAGGTAGCCACTCATACCAGCACCAAGAAAATTCCCTGCAGTCACGCGCGTTTATAGCTCTGCGCTATCAGGTTTAGTATTTCTCTGCAGACAAAATGTGACAATTAACTCCTGTGATGTGCAGTCACACACACACAGATTGAAAGCTCACCACTGTCAGTAATACTGCCATCCACAATGCAGCAATAAAAAGAAAAAATCTCAACACGTACTTTGCTTCCCACGTGAAATCAGCTCACCAATATCCTTCAGCAGTACCCTAGACTGCAAAAGCATCCCTTACTGTAAACATATGCTGCGTTTACATCGCACTATAGAACTCCAATGCTAGCAGAACAGTCATAAAATGAAGATGGCAATGAGACTACCTCGTTGACATCTCTCTCATCACCCGCTGCTGCTCCCAGCTCCAAGACTTCTCATGATGCTGCCCAAGAGTGGCCAGAACAGTTCCCATCAGACCATACGGGACACAGCACCATTTTCTCCTCTCAAGCTTATTAGACACCAACTCTTTCATCTAGTTGTCCAGTGCTGATGTGCTAGGATGCTGCCTGCCCCTGCTACTTTTCTCCTCCTACTATTTGCAGTGGAATCATCCAATTAAGATTTGCTCACTCTTCTGGGCACCCTGATACTATAAACAGAATTCTCGTCTGCATTTTCAAAGCACGAAACATCTCTAATGCTATATAAGTAGAACAATAATTAATAATAAACTCCCTTAAAAATCCTGATACCCAAATTTCTCCCTCTGAAATTAGGTATGATGATTCGGTACACATGACCCCAACTGCTCCAGTTCATAGAGCTTGCACAGTAACAGCCTGCATGTGGCTCATGACATGGCTTCCTCATTGCAGGCAGAGCACACTAGGTATCAGAAGGAAATTAATAATCCAGTTAAATCAAAACATACATTTAATTGATTTTATAACGCTTTCTTATAGTTTAGACATGGGCCAACACTTTAATGTCATGTTAAATGCATGCATTTACCAGTCTAGGGTTTTCTGGATGTTAAGTTGGCGATGCCATTGCAATTTTTTATTTCACCTTCGCATTGTTGTAAAATCCTTAACTTTGTAGAATCTACCAACAGTGAAACTTAGAAGGCCCCTTCCCTGCCTTGCTCCTACTGCTTGTGCACATGCAAACATTCTTGGTGCTGGGAGGTAAAAACACATAAAGAAAAAATGGAGCCCTTCAAACTCTTATCACATTAACCCTTATGGTAGAGAGATATCTATGCGAAGCACTTTGATGTTAAAAGAGACTAGTGATGTATTCTATCAGCAGGACAAGCCACAGACACTGTTCCGCCCTTTCTAATACATGCTCCTAATTCAGGGGCACTGCGCCAGGCATGTGACAGATCAACTTAACCAAGTGTATTTACATTATTAGCGATAAGGAGGAGGATTTTATGCCCCGTACAGATATTTTAATTCCTAATGCAGACATTCTCATTTAAGGATCTGCTTTTCAGCTTTCAAGCTGAATTCTAATCAGGTCTTCTAATCCATTGGCAGCAAAAAGAAAAAAAAAAGGTTGAAGGAAATCAGATGCAGCTTGGATAATTGATGTTTGTATGCTTGGCTTTAATAAAAATACACTGTTAAATTAAAGAGGAGTCTAACAGGATTCAATCAATAAGAAACTGAATCAGGTAGAGAATTCAATCTTGGGTTTTATTGTAATCTTCCAAATAAGCCAAAAGATCAGTCCAAATGATGCTGAGATTCACTTCAACTCCACTGAAATTTGTGAGCATTGTTTATATATGCTTCTGTAGCCCGACTAGATCTTGTGCTTCCAGCTGAAAGAACTTTAACATTCAGACCCAGTACATGGATGAAAAGGTTTTCAGTATTTCATGTGCACAATCTCTGTGTTATTTAAGTCTGTAAGAAAAATAAACCTCCCATTATATACCAGAACAATAACATATTAACATGCTCAGTATCTAATGCATATGGAATATTAGACATATTAAGGAGAGGGCAAACTGTCTACATACAAGACAGGTTACTTGATAGCATTGTTATTCTAATAACCATTTTTACCCAACAGCATGCCTTATAAAATTATTTTGTATTTCAGCAACATTATCAAGGAAACTAAAGATAGCAGCATATCCACAGGTTGGGTTCTTTCCATCCACCAAAACAACTGATAGATGTGAAATCACTATCAAATGTACTCGCAACTGATGACAGACTCCTCTGGAGAAATAAGGGAATGCACAATAGCATGAAGACATCGCCATCAATAGTGGTAACAACCCCCAGTCTGCCAGGTCTAAGCACCAATGCTGGGAAGCCAAAGTGATAGCAACTAAGCGAGTGCTGCATTATGGCTGTCTTCATGCTAGATACGCTATTGAATCTTTGCAAATGCTGGAATACCCATTAATCCCACAGCTCCTAAATACTATATGCACATATATGCAGACACACAAATAGCCTTTTCTCTCTTTATGTAAGAAATTAGATATGTTTCTGTATAGCTATATCTATATAAAATCTACGTTGCTTTATTAATAAAACTAACAGTTTTAATTTACAGTGACTTCTTGTTAAAGTGAGCCTTGACAAAGCCTGCAATTCTGCTTTGAATGTTTGGCACCAAAAAACCCCCACCCCAAATAAGCGTGATTGTATTCTAACTGAAGTAATGGTGCTAGGAGATTACTGTTAGAATTGTATTGGATCACCGACATAATCCACAAGGCTGCCAGGTTCCACGCAACTAAGGGTATTTTATGTACAGCAGAAGCAGATTTAGCATACCTGCCTGCACTCTAAAAATAGATATAGTGTATGTGCATTTACTATAATTTCTTCTTTTTTTTTTTCTTCTAAAATGTTCTTAGCCTTAACAAAATGCACACTGACATCTGATCATCATACATTTAAGGATTAATATAGGCAGCACCTATAAAGCATTCCACTTTTCCTACAGCCCATTTATAAATCTATACACAGGACGTCTTGCTGTCTGCAGCCGTTGCATTCCAGTCTGCTGAATATCCTTCAGAGTCCACACTAACACCACAAATTTTGCACATAAAAATAGAGAGGACAAAAAACTTGGCACTTGCAAGTTGTTATTTCTCTTTCATTTGCCACCTTTGTTACTACCACAGAACAATTACAACAGGCGTAGGATGACAATGCGCTGTAGCACAGAACAATGGCAGATACTTATACAAGGTAACGCTCTGAATCTCACACAAAACAGAAATCTAAACACGAATGCAAGTTAACTTAGGCTGAGGTTTCATAATCATTTGAAGATGATCTAAGTATGGGCAGCCACCAAAGAAGCTGTCTTGCTTTCCCCCTCCCTCCCCCTGCACATAAACACCCCTCTCCTGTGCTCACATTAGCATCTGAGCCATGCGGATGCCAAAGCAGCTCCTGGATCCGACTGACCCTGCAGACACACGAACAGTGGCCCTGAAGTGAGGAAGAACCCCCAGCGTGCTGGTAGGACCCGGGATAAGGTGGGAATGTGTAAGCCAATTGAGCTATTGCCTTTCAGGATCAGAATGAATATTAGTTATGTACAAAAATGTGAAGCCAGAAATACAATTAGAGAACTGTCCGGTAAAAATCAAACCCCGAATCACCAAGACCATGATTGTACAGCACAGATCTCTTCCGAATACTACTGAAAATGTATACCGGAACATAAGTGTGGGGCCTTTTTAAATGTATGTTTTAAAATACATGTTTTAACAAAATATTTCAGGGTGGCTGACATAAAGAGAGCTCAAAAACATAATTATTCCAACATTCAGATCCCTTTAATCAAAGTTTCAGCTAGTGTATTTTTTAGGAGAAGCTCTTTCAAACCTCCCCCCTCCCCCTTATCTCATCTGATGACAGCAGGAAAGACTTGCAACAATTTTCCAACTATTAGCCATGCACACACAGATGCATGAACACTCAC